AAGCTTTTTATTTTGATATAGTCCCATTTGTTTATTTTCTCTTTAGTTTCCATTGCCCTAGGAGCATTATCAGAAAAGAAATTCCTTCGGCATATGTTTGCGATTTCGCTGCCTGTGGATTCCTCTAGTATTTTTATGGTTTCTTTTTCTCCATTTTTTCATAGCTTTTGTAATGTACAATGAATTTAAATAGAACATAATACATCTCTTCTACAGAAGCAAGATCCAAAATGCTTTAAATTGCATTCCACTGATCCGTAACTGGGGTTTACTCGAACCCTGCATTGTTTTACCACAGTAGAGGAATGCCCTCTCAGTCATAACTAAATGATCGCTATTTTAAATAATAGAAATAAGGAAGACCTGTGTCAGCTGGTTGCTTGCTTATCTGTTTTCAGAATATTAAAAGTATTACATTGTGTAATAGGTTGCTTCATGGTATATTTAGGTGGGATTCCTTTGCTCCTTTTACTCCTCTGTTTAGTCTGCACATTTTTGAGATAGCTTGAATTGCTTTATCCATGTCTGTGAGATCACATGAAGCTTGTCATCTACACAATCCATTTAGCCTCTACGCAGATAAATCTGTGTGTTCCTAGACTGTTAGAAATGTCAGTTAATATCCCTGAGGTATCATGACAGCAGTTTCTTGTATAGGAGGTCAGAACAGTATATTTTTCTGGGCTAAGAAATCCATGAATGCTTGAAATATTGTTTACTAGGACACTAAGGCACTTTAATAACTAATATTTACCTGTGGTCAGTTAGCTTAGCAGTCATTCATTCATTCATTCATTCATTCAACACCACCTATGAGTGGTAGAGTTCCAGACCTAGGGAGAGAGTATATCAGGGGTGGGCAAACTTTTTGACTCAAGGGCCACAATGGGTTCTTAAACTGGACCGGAGGGCCGGAACAAAAGCATGGATGGAGTGTTTGTGTGAACTAATATAAATTCAAAGTAAACATCATTACATAAAAGGGTACGGTCTTTTTTTTTTTTTTTTTTTAGTTTTATTCATTTCAAACTGGCCGGATCCGGCCCGCGGGCCGTAGTTTGCCCACGGCTGGTATAGATCAGACCAGGCAGTCCTTCCTCTTAGTGCTCTGGTAGGGATGGGTACAGACAAGCACCAACCAATGAGCAACTATTAAATGAGATGGTTCAGGAGAGTGCTAAATGATGTGAAGAAAATAAAATAAGGAAGTGATAAAGATTTATGAAGATTGGTATCTCAGAAGGTCTCATTAGAGATGCATAAATACAAGCCAGCCATCTCAACATCTGAGCGAAAAGCATTCAAGGCAAAGGAAATAGGCTATGGACAAAATAGACAATAAAGTGGGAAATTTCTAGTACCTCTTCTGTTAGCACTCTGATGCCTGATTGTTTGGCCTACTCACAAGAACCACTGCCTCTCACACATTCTGAACTTAAATTGATCATCGACAGACTAAAATTATGGGCTAAAACCAACAAGATGAGATGTGACTGATATGAATGTAAAATGGTGCATGTGAGTCACACACCCCATTGCTCAGTATATCCACGTGGGTTGGCAGCTGTTCACATGAGAACAGTCTGGGGAGTCTAACTGACCACACGTTGGAGCTTGCTCTTTACTGTTCCTGACAGGAAAGAAAACAATGTGTAGATATTACCCTTAGTCAGATTTCTGCCCAATTTAAGGCATCATTAGTGCGTCCAAAAATGGAACAGTCTGTCTGGCTGGTGGAGACATCTCCTTTGCTTAACTGGTTGAAAAAAAAAAAAGAAACAACGAATACCCACCAGGACTTTTGGAGAAAGGAAGTTCTGCAGTGTTTGTAGGCCAGTTTAAGACACTTTTTTGTTTCCTGTGATTCTGTGACTTATTACTCAATTATTTTATTCCAAATAAATGTTCTTCGTTTTGTGATATTTATATACAGTTAGGAAGAAAAAAATATCATTGGTATATAAGGTATATGGTGAGGTTGATGGAAAATTGGGTTTATAATGCCATCTTTCTAAATGGTGATCTGAAGTGTAGAATTCTTAGGCTATAATTTTTAAATGAGTTTAGATTAAATTTCTAATATGTCTTTGGCCAAGTAGAATAATAAAAATAAATATATGTATCTTGGCTTTGCCAATGTGTCAGCTGTGTAACATGGACAATTTACTTTTCTGCACTACAGTTTCCTCAAAATGAGGACAATAACGTGTACCTGCCTGAAAAGATTGCCTTTTAAAGGATTAAATTAGTTGCTGTATATAAAGCAGCTGGAACAGTGCCTGGCAATAGCACCTGCTAAGTGTTCGTTCTAATTGTTAGATGTAAATGTATTTTCTGTTCTGCCTTCAGGAATTAATGACCAAATTAATAACTGAGACACCTGACCAGCCAATCCCATTTCTCATTGACCATCTTCAGTCCAAACAAGGAAACCGAGGGCAGCTTCAGCGAACTCTATCCGGATCTGCAGCTCTCTGGGCAGAAAGTGAAACATCAGGTAAATGAAACATGTTTGATAGTTAATTTTGATACGTGTCATGTAAAACTTTACAGAAAGTCTTTCTGATTATAGTAAGATAAGTCTAGATGGTTACCTAGAGTTTCATGAATTAATCTGTAACTTCACCCATATGCTAACATTTGTCATAAAATATTACTGAATTTGAACATAGTGTTAGTATTATGCTTCAAGATATGAGAATTTGTGTATTAAATTTTATGAAAATACGAGTCAGATTTTCATGAAAAGATTTGATTCCAAATGAATTCAAGCTAATTTTTCTAAGCTGTTTTTTCTTTATTTCTTTTTATGAAGAATTTGAATTAAATGTCTCTAGTTCATTTGTAGAAAGGTAAACAATAGATTTCTCCAAAGTTACTTTTCTTGTTGCTCAAACTGATGATTATTCTCTATTCCCCTAGCCCAGTGGTCGGCAAACTGCGGCCCCTTGAGTGTGGCTCTTCCACAAAATACCACTTGTGGGCACGCATGTACAGTGCGATTGAAAACTTTGTGGCCACACTCAAGGGGCCAAAGAGCTACATGTGGCTCGCGAACTGCAGTTTGCCGACCACTGCCCTAGCCCAAATTTTATCTGTGTTGGAAGTGCAGCCTTAGAAAGATCCCTTGACTGTAGAAATTGGGAACCAGCTTTACCATGAGGCAATAGCCTCATCTTCCCAGTGAGCCTGGTGAGATAATTGGGTAGACTTAACTTCCATATCTGCTTGTAAGATAACCCTTTTTCTTCTACACACTGGTCTGTTGGGTGCCAACCGTATCCCCATGTCTGTTGCTTCAGTAGCCAGTTTCCTTGCCTGATTCCCAGGGGAAATCTGACTGCCGGGCCTCCACATGCTTTCCTGCAACGACCCCCTCACTCCTCTTGTCCTCTTTATGCTGTAGTGCTGCCTTGCAGTGATTTTGGTCTCTTTGGTTGTATTCTCATATGAGTACCCTCTTGAGATCATATCTCAAAAGCACACTAAAGTACACAGGGTTTAGGGCAGTGATGGCGAACCTTTTGAGCTCGGCATGTCAGCATTTTGAAAAACCCTAACTTAACTCTGGTGCCGTGTCACATATAGAAATTTTTTTGATATTTGCAACCATAGTAAAACAAAGACATATTTTTTTGATATTTATTTTATATATTTAAATGCCATTTAACAAAGAAAAATCAACCAAAAAAAATGAGTTCGCGTGTCACCTCTGACACACGTGTCATAGGTTCACCATCACTGGCCTAAGGACTATAATTTGCTGACCCTTGGCTTATATTTGGAGTCAAATGTATGTTGAAGTGCTCGGCTAATATTTAAATTTATCCACAATTTCTGAAGGGCACAATCCCTAACTTAACTCTGGTGCCGTGTCACATATAGAAATTTTTTGATATTTGCAACCATAGTAAAACAAAGACTTATATTTTTGATATTTATTTTATATATTTAAATGCCATTTAACAAAGAAAAATCAACCAAAAAAAATGAGTTCGCGTGTCACCTCTGACACGCGTGTCATAGGTTCGCCATCACTGGTTTAGGAGATTCCTTTCGGAATGTAGACATCTCTGGTGTCAGTTATCCATAGGGAAGTGACCTGCATCATACAGGAAGCTAGGATATGAGCTTTTGGCATTCAAAAGAACAAATTCCTGTTTTTTCCTGGCCTCACTTTCTTGGGTTTAGGCTCTGAGGAGCTTGGGAATATAGGCATGGACTCTGGTTTGCAGGTACAAAGAAGACACTCATGTTAAGCAGAAGAGATGAACATCTGTGAGCCCAGGGAAACTCGTATGAGCCTATATTTATAAATTATAGTATATGAAGAGGCAAGAATGTGTGAAATAGCAGATTTAATCAGTTTATGTTTTGTATCTCACAGTTTCCATGGGTCAGAAGTCTGTGCATGGTTTAACTAGATCCTTTGTTTAATCTCACAAGTCTAGAAATCAAGATATTGCCCGGGCTACACTCTCATCTGGCATAAGAAAGAGCCTGCTTCCAAACTCATGCACGTTATTGGCCGAATTAATTTCCTTGTAGGTAGATGACTGGGGTCCCTGTTTCCTTGCTGGATTTCAGCCCAGGTTGCTCTCAACTCCTCCATGCAACCTGCAGTCCTTTGCCACATGCCTCTGTCACATTATGGCAGCTTACTTCTTTCAAACCTGCAAGGGGATTTGTCTCATTCAGGTTTAATAAGATGGAATCCTATATAACATAATCATAGCATTGACATCCCATCATCTTTGCCATATTCTATTGGTTTGAAGTAAGTCAAAGATCCCGTCGACACTGAAGGAGAGGGAACTATATAAGGTATAACATCAGGGGACAGAGATCATGGGGGTCATCTTAGAATTCTGACTGGCGTAAGTGCTTAATGACGCACTGCTTAGAGAGGGTGAAGGAGGGGTGGAGATTACTATAACTCCCAGCGTATTAGCTTGAGTAATGGTATAAATGCTTGTTTAATAAAGTAAGATAGTAACACAGGACTAAATTTATAAATGATAGTAAGTCTAGGTCCTCTTGATTTGATCTTCTTGTGGGGCATGTTAGTAGATAATTCCAGCAGGCAGGAATGAGTCTAAAACTTTTGGGATGGGTCAAGGCAGGAGTCACAGGTGAGGCATTCATATCATACATAAAATCATTAAAACTGTGGGAGTGAAGGAATGGAAGAAGTTGTGGTTAAATTAACAGATTGAGTAGGAGATGGACTGGGAGATGGCCAGTGTGAGGTCATATCTGATACCTAAAATTTTGTCTGTCTATTGAGAAGTGAGGTTGTTTACTGAGGACAGCTGAATATCTTCAGGAGGCCAGAGTAAGTGAAGGTTCAGTGAAATGGGAGAGGTACAGAAGGACAGCAGACTGTGCTATCTGAGACTTGAGGTGGAATGATTCCAGATAATGATAAAGTCCTATTGATGGCCGTAGTTTGGGAGTGTCATAAGCATCAGGGAAGTGAAGCTTTCAAAGTTGAGGACAAGGAAGTCTGAGGCTTAATGGGTGGTTTTTCTAAGGATTAAGAGGTCACCAGGGTTTCATCCAAGTTGTTGAAAGGTCTAGGGAGACTGTGCCAATATCGTGAGTAGGATTGCAAGAGATATCAGGGCCAGTTCGCTGGTGATAATGAAGCGTGGTGAACAGTGTAGACAGCCAGCATTAATCACAAGTCAGGAGGGACTTTTCAGCTTTACATTGCTGGGCCTGGAAAACCCAGCCAATGGAGAAGAGAACACTCGCCACTCCAGGAAGCTGCGGAGCAGGGAGTGCTCTTGGGGGAGGAATGAGGTGTCTCTTAGGACATGAGAGGGGGGAGGGGATTAGGAACAGAGGAGTGTTTGTTTCCCATGAAATGTATGTTCCAGAAGATGAAGAGGGAAAATTTTGGAGGGCAGAATATGACAAAAGGGAGAAAGAAAGCACAGAATAATCCTTGGATGTGAATATAGGTGGAGAAATTTTAGTTCAGGTGACAGTCAATAATGCTAGTTTAAACCTTGCCTGCAATTTTGAATTGTTTCTTTTGGTGTATGTTCTAATTAGCTAGAAAATGTCTCAATATTCAAAGTATATGGGTATGATACTTTTTGAAAACATCTCAAGATGTCCTCTTATTGCCTTTAAATGGATCTAGCAATTTAGGACACATCGTATTTTCCAGAAGTTTGTCATTTAACATTGTCGAGGACAAACCTGAAAGCAGCCTTATTTTATTCCTTTTAGACATTTTAATTATTCTTCTTAAACACGAATGGGATTTGCTTTCTTTTCATTTTTGATGTTTAAAAGTTTACTGGAAATACATCTAAATGTTTGTCTCTTTAACTTTTCCTAGGCTCACTAAATCCTTTCAATCAACAAATCCCGCTCTTAAGCCTAGAACATTTTTTTTTCTTTTGTGTACTTAGTTATTGCTTCTATTATATTTGTTTAGGTTTCTTCTTAAGGAAAATCAAGTATGTGTAAATATTGTTCTCTATCCCTGTCATTTCATTACACATGATATTTGCCTTTCTTTATAGAATAACTTTTAGGGAAATTTATTTGTCAATGTGTTCTGTGTCGCTGATTCAATTTTCCGCAGTATCAGTTTTCTCTTTCTGGCTTTAAACCGAAATTTAAATGTTGGTATTGCATTTCAGCTTCCTATCAGTATTTTCTTATCTTCTTTTTTTTAAAATCTCTGCAGTTATATTTTTTTAACATAGGTTAGTTAGCCTATCTCCTCTCTCATTTCTTTTTGGTTCATAGAATCCATTTTATTTTATTTTTATTGGCAAGTTAGACACAATGTAAAATTTGAACGTTTTCAATAATAAATCTTTTGTAAAACCATCCATTTCCTCTGTATCTTGAATGCTGTATTCTTGTTTTGCATATTGAATGTTTTTCTTAAAATCATATATTAATTAAAATTTAAATGAGGAATGTTCTATTTTTAGGCTTGTCAATACGTGAACTCTAATTTGTCCCCTCACTGTATAGCTTGGAATTTTTTGACTGCTAAAGAATTTTAGAGAGACAGGTGAAAGCAATCATAGCCACTGCTAAAATTTCCAGTATCAGTATAATCCTGTGGGTCTCAGCTAAACTGACTAGTGACTGTATGTCTCTTCTCTTTTCAAACAACTAAATAAGAACAATATTATTACTGGATTATTTAAATTAATGTGGACTTGTTTTTCCTTGCCAGTCGTGGAGAATTTAAAAGACCACAAAATCCAATGTATCTTTTCTCTCTGGTTCCTTTTAGCTTTCCTTTGTATCATGAGCAGCTATATTTTACAAACAGGATTCTTTATTCCTTTACCATATTACATTAGAATAAATTATGGTGCTAGGATGCATGTAGAAAGAAAAATTCTGAGAGATTATGAAACAACATAAGGAGATAACTCTGAGACAGGGGCAAGCGTTGTGGATGTCTTGAAACCCTCCAACATCTTTCTGATTTGCCTGTCTTTTGTCTTAATCCTACCAATAGAAATACCACCTGGGTCTGGAAGACCACAGACCAATATTTCAGTTCCTAGTGTTTTAGAATATTTATACCTCTTTTGGTATTTAATGGGATGTTGGAGGTAGAAAAATTGAATAACACCTAGTTAAGTACAACCTTAGCATGAACATTTGAGAAATCCACATGCTGTTTATTTAGTGCTTAAAGGTGGGTGGCCAGAGAAAGATGTATGACTTGTTCATAAAGCTAGGGTGAAAACGAAATGTAAATAAGGAGACAGAGGGAAACTCTAAAGAATGCCACCTGGATGAAAGAGGATGAGGAAGCAATGATTGAGACAGAGAAGGAGTAGTCAGGTTAATGGGATGAGAAGTTGGTAATGCTCTGAGAATAGAAGAAAACATTCTGCAAAGATAAGTCTGTCTAAAGAGATGAAATGCTTGGTGGAGAAGTCAAGAGGGATGAACTCTTGAAAAGATCACTTACCTTGGGAATTGGTATGACATTGACCACCTTTGAAGGGGAACTATAACTTTAGCAAAGTTGGTTGAATTAATCTTTTTTGAAGAAACAAGTGGGAAAATAAGTGATGGTAAGGAAGAAACTTAGGTGAATGTCAGTTTTCTGTGTCATAGTAAATAATGGGTAAACTAACATCAGTAAATATTTAGTTGTTTTATTTTCAACAGAATACAATGTTTTCTTCCATGGCAGCATTTAAAGAATGTTATTTTAAGTAATGGTAACCCATGCCTTTCAAGGCCTTTCAAATAATTTCAGTTTAAAATGACCTTAACCATATTACTATACACACTGATTCATATCAAATTGATAACTAAAATGTACAGGGGAAATTAAGCAAGAAATGCTTTTGGATATTTGCATCATTTTTTATTTTACTTTATTATTATTTTTTTGTATTTTCATTGATTTCAGAGAGAAAGGGAGAGGGAGAAAGAGATAGAAACGTCAATGATGAGAATCATTGATTGGCTGCCTCCTGCATGGCTTCCACTTAAGATCAAGCCTGCAACCCGGGCATGTGCCCTGACCAGGAATCGAACCGTGACCTTCCTGGTTCACAAGTTGACACTCAACCACTGAGCCACACCAGCTGGACTATTTGCATTATTTTTTATATAAGGTGACCTGTAGATTTTGCTGAGTATACCTAATAACTTCATGAATTTAGTTTTTATGAATCTTGAAATCACATTAGTGAGCATGTATTTACATGTATATTTGTTTGTTTATTTGAACAGAACATAAAGGAACAAGGAGGGATTTGAGAAGCTATGATAAGCCTTGGCAATTAAATGCAAAGAAGCCCAAAAAGTCAAAAAGTGACCTTGCTGTCTCTAATATTTCTCCACCATCACCAGAATCCAAATCATGTAAGGAAGTTTGTTATTCAAAAAGTTACTTAATGTATATGTAAGTCTGTGTTATTAACAAAATGAAGAAAAGGTAAGAATTGAAGCCAAATGTTTTATCTGATATTTCTGGCTATTAATCGCAATGCATTTTGTATTTATTTCAGCATTAACATTGAGCTTTATTTCTGTTTAGTTACTTATTCATATTCTTTTTTAATGTATTTTTTATTGTTGACAGTATTACAGCTGTCCCTATTTCCTCCCCGCTTTGCCCCCCTCCACCCAGCCCCTCCATGTGTAATAGATTTAGACCTTTTGGAGCATACTCTTTTAAGGATGTATTTTGCCTAGAATGGGTCCCTTGCCTCTCGTGGCCAGTTGCATCATTGTATTACATTCAAAGCAACACCCACGCTACATTTTAAAAAAGTACATAAAAGCTAATTAAATCTATTAGAGGAGGAGCAAATGAGATTTGTATTCAAAACATTTAACAAAATTTTCTGAAGTCCTTCACCTATTATATCCCTGAAGTCCTACTTATTATTTATTACTAAAGCTCCTATATTTACTTCTGTTTCGTTCTCTCTCTCTCTCTTTTCCTCCCTCCCTCATTTTCTTCTTCTTTATCCTCCCACCCCCACCCCACCCCACAATGATAAGTCTAGAGACTTACTAATTTTAAAGGGTCAGTACTGGGTCCCGTCAACTTTAGGGAAGAATGCTAAAAGGCTGCTCATTCTGAAGAGTCTGTGCTCCTAGCAGGATGCTGCTGAGTCACAGACTGTTGCTGGTGATCTGGCATCTGATGGATGATACCTCTTTCTGTTCAGGTGCCCTACTCCCAAGTTCTGGTTCCACCCAACCATTAGCTTTTTAAAGCCAAATTAATAACAAACTGAGCTTTTATAGCATATGAAGCGATTACATATATGACAATAAAAATACAGGGTCAGAATTATTAATTGGAAAAATGTAGTCAAAATACAGTATATTAAATTGTTCCTGAAGTAACAGAATATGTTTTGAACTTACACTGGGACAGGTTTAAGATGCATATTGTAATGTGTAAAGAAACACTACAAAGCATAAAATGGCATAAATAGAAAGTCAGTAGAGGAGTTAAAATGGAATGCGAAAAGAAAAATATCATTTATCCTCCCTAAACAAGGGCAGGAAAAGAGGAACAGAGAAATAAAAGATTGGAAAGATAGAAACCAAATGCCAAGATGTTAGGTTTAAGTGAAAACATGTCAATAATTACAATAAGTGTAAAGGTACTGAACATCTCAGTTAAAAAGCAAAGATTATCAGGCTAGATTTAAAAAGAAAATAACTGTATCTTTTATCATCCTAGACATAAAAATATTATTATCAAATATTAGCAGTTTTATTGGTAAAGTCATTTGGAGGAAACAGTACATTTATTTTTAACCCATAGATAGGAACTTTTGGTGGAGGTCACAGTGAGTCAGAATTTGATTAGTATAATAAAGAATTGCTCAAAATTAGTCCTGTATACAGTATACAGTATACAGGAGGCTGCTGTATGAAGTAGCGAGCTCCTGTGGGCCAATGGAGGATGCCATCTGCAGGGTACTATAGATGGACTCCTGCATTGGGGGTGAGCTTTGCCTCAGTGAAGCCATAGACGTGCCCTCTCTTAGGTTCTATCACCGCACATGTGTCATCTTATGTTATTGATTCTGTTCTACTGTTTTCCATTTCTCCCGAGAATATTCGTTAAAATGTATTTAAATTGTAGTTCTCAGTTTCAAGATAATTAAGTATAACTAAGTAAGGTTTTTAATCCATCAGAAACCTTTAAGGGATGCCCTCCTTTGGAGGCTGTGTCCTTCCATTATTTATCAAGACATTTTTTGAAATCCCCAGCATAGTTGATTTGACCATCATCATGCTGTGGCCTGGGTTGTCCTAGATTTGGCTTCCTTGATAAATTGGATATATGTGCATGAAAGTTGCTGAGGAAAGTCCTTGAGTGTTGTATCAGTTCTCTGTTGCTTCATATATCCTCCCTAAAACTAAATGGCTTAAAAAACAACAATTTATAATTCCTCGTGATTCAGTGGATTGATTGGGCGCTTCTTCTTCTGGTCTTGCCATGTCAGTGCAGTCAGTTGGTAGGTCTGTGAAGGCTGGGATGCTTTGGGAGCTGGCCATGTCTGGTGGTTATTCGGGAATATTAATTGGGACTGATTTTAAAAACAAACAAACACTAATCTCTTATTTTGTAAATTAAAAGGAGAGAGAACTCTTGATAGCATATGTTAATTTACAGGAAAATTAGATAATGCAGTGATATAGATTAGAGAAATTGTTCAATGAAGGTTAACCAGTGCCACACAATCTTTTTTTTTAATATAAGTTTTAAAAAATATATATTTTATTGATTTCAGAGAGGAAGGGAGAGAGAGAGATAGAACCATCAATGATGAGAGAGAATCACCGATCGGCCGCCTCCTGCACGCCCCCCACCAGTGTCAAGCCCGCAACCCCTGTATGTGCCCCAAACTGGAACCGAACCCGGGACCCTTCAGTCCACAGGCGAAGGCTCCAGCCAATGAGCCAAACCAGCCAAACAATCCTTTGAAGGATATGGTACAAATACAGTTTTATCTGCTTCCTTTTCTGAGTTTCTCTCCCCCATGCCTGGGCTTGTTCCCAGAGGTCCCCTGGGGTAATAGCAGTGTGCCTAGAAGTCTTTTCTAGAATATTTATCACACTCACTCTGTCCACTCTCCAATGTTTGATCGCCAGTGTGTTGATGTTAGCTGATATCTCTATCCCAGAATCCCTTAAATAAAAAAAGACAGACGAAGCACTTGCATTCTATTTTTTAAATTTTAGATTTATTTAAATTACAGAAGTAATATTTGCTTATTTTGACAATTAAAAAATACAGACATGTAGTTTTTCTTTCTTCAGTCCACTCAAATTCTACTCCCTCAGAAATAGTTTGTATCTTTTCATAGCCTTTGAAATAGGTTGCATTTTTTACATCCTTTTCTTTTTTAATAAAGGCCTTCCCAGACAAAAAAATGGCTATTACCACCAAACCAGCATTGCAAGAAATGTTAAAGAGACTGCTGTCATAGTAATAGGCAATATATATAGAGAGAAACATAGGTATAAAGAATACATCCTTTGCTTTGTATAAACTAACATAAAATATATATGGGTTGACTTGCTTCCTAAAACTAGCTTTAAACTGTAAACATTAAATAACTTGATTTTATTATTTAAAAATGCATTGTGGACATATCTCCATGCTAATAGACTGGGATCTAAGATAAACTTTTTAATAAGTGCAGACTGTATCATAGTGTGAATGTAGCTTAATTTATTTATTCCCCTGTTGAAGGACATTAAATGATTTCCAGAATTTTTCCACCACAAACTGCTGAATAAACAAATTTATATCTTTCACTTCCTGATAAAATAAACAATCTTGTAATTTATATATAAGTATAGACATTTTTATTTATTATAATTAACCAAACATAAGATTGCTGGGCCAGAGGGTCATTATACTTTTATTATAATCGATATTGCCAGATTACCTTTCAAATAGGTAGGAGAAAAGATATTTCAACAGCCTTTCTTTCCTATGGCCTTACCATATAAATATATAAAATTTATTTTAGCCGTAACCGGTTTGGCTCAGTGGATAGAGCGTCGGCCTGTGGACTGAAAGGTCCCAGGTTCAATTCCGGTCAGGGGCATGTACCTTGGTTGCGAGCACATCCCCAGTGGTGGTTGTGCAGGAAGTGGCTGATGGATGTTTCTCTCTCATCCATGTTTCTAACTCTCTATCCCCTTCTCTTCCTCTCTGTAAAAAAAATCAATAAAATATATTTTTTAAAAAATTTATTTTTATTGAAACAAAAATATATGTGGTTTAAAAAGTAAAGTAGTAGGTACTACTACTACTCCTCTGTTCTAATGTGGAACCACTTTTAACTCTACTAGATGTTGTTTTGGGTACACAGGTCTAAATATCAAAACATACAAGGTACTTACATGTTCTTTTTTACTTTTTACATTTGAGGCATCATCTTTTGACCTCCTTCTAAGACTTTGTGCTTTATACTCTGGTCCCATCTCAGCATCCCCCTACAGTCATGCAGATATTTCAAATGTTGGTTGAATATATACTCTGCTTTGGTATTAGTAAGACTACATTAATTTGTGTTTTTCACAGTATAGCCATAAGATGTCCAACTATTAATTTATTAGCTGACTTTTAATTAGAATTAATAATTGACTTTTTTCTGTTTGTTTTCTATATATCCATCACTAATACTTCACCAAATCCTGTGTTAAACTATTAAACACTCTCAATATGATCAAATACATCAAGTGATCCTAATTTCGGTCTTCTTTTATATTTTATTTCGTTTGAAAAGTGTTACATCCATTTCCCCTGTAGCTCTCTGTCCTATTGCTCCAGTCTTGGCTTCTGGGTCTCGAGCTGCTTTTTCAGCTGTCTCCCAGGACTGTTCTTCACTGTCACCCTTTTCCTTTTTCTTCTGGAGGATCACCTATTGCCTGAGTCCCAAGTCTTTCCACTTTGAATTTTGGTGGAGCACCTCCACTAGGAGCTTTCTGGAAAAAGAAAATGCTTGCAAGATAAATTTTGAGTCTTTACAAGTATCTTAATTGATCCTTGAGTTAGGTAGAAAATTCTAAGTTGGAAGTACTCTTTAGTTGAAATTTTGAAAGACTTTCTCCCCCATCTTCTGAGGAGAACTGTTGCTGTTGAGAAGTCTGATGATGATATGATTTGCTATTTTTGTCTCTGAAAGCTTTTAAGATCTTTTCTTTATTTCTATTGTTGTAAAATTTAGTGATATTCAATGAATTCTTCCAGTCTGAAGAAGAAAGTTTTTGTATTCTTATTACTTTGTCATTGGTCCTGTTTGATACTTTAATGCTTAAATGGTCTGAAATGATCACTTTGGGGGGCATCTCTCTCTTCAGGGACTAGGTTTCGGTATTCTCTAGTTTGCTAAATTTGTTTACTACTCATCAATTCATTTTGCATCTTCCAATAAACTATGATGCTCTTTCTTACCTCTCCTTGCTTAACTAATTCTTTGTCCAAAAAAATTAAAAAATCCTTTACTCTAAAAATTTTAGTGGGAATTTGGAATTTGAAGGGAAATGAAGGTAATTACAGTCGTCTCTGTTTTACTAGAAGACAGCAAGAATGTCTTAGAAATATTTACTAATTGATGATAAAGAAGTTAGTGATTATTTTTAAGCTGCTAAAACAAACAAAATCTACTTTACTTTTATGTTTTCCTTAAATTCTAGAAATTATTAGTTTTAAATCAGTACCTGATTTTTCTTTTTTTTCTATAAATAGCATCACACTTCCCTTTACTTGTTCATTTAAAACATTTCTTAAAACCAAGCTTTATAACTTCCCACTGCTTGCCCACAAGAAAACCATTTCCAAGACAAACATTTTTATTCTGTATATGATCTTATACAGTCTTTCGCATAATGACGAATAGTAAGTTTTTATTACTATGCAGCATGCTTATGAAGTAATCATTTTTTTTAAACATAGTGTCAAGGTCAGTAGATCATCCTAAGTGGAACTGGCGAACTAAACCAGAAAGCCGTGATTTTGATGAATTGAACCACATCCTTCAAGAGAGCAAGAAGCTGGGAAAAGCCCTTGAGAAGCTCTCTCGAAGTAAGTTCAGTTATTTAATCCTAATTGAAATTCCTAACCAATATTAAAGTAGAAGCACTCATTAATATTGCTGGTAACCCATTTCCAACATCCTCATTAAAATTCTGTGAGAGGTTGAGGAGTTCTGAGGGCCTGGATTGGAACTGAGATTGATTTTGCATATTACACAGCCTCATGGGAAGACTGGTTATACAGAGTAGGAGGAGCTATAGACCCCCATGGTTATTTCACCACCTCTCTCTGCAATCTCTCTGTTATCAAGGTCAAGTGTACACCTAATGGTATCTTATTCATTCTTCTCTTTTGAACCTCTTTGTTTTGTGTCTTCTTAATGAACACATATTCCTATTGCTTTCATGGGTTTTTAATGTCTCTACATTTAAGGATGGTAATGGGGCCAGATTTTTCTTAGAATCCTTTCAGAGCCTAGCATAGTGCTGTGTGGTGTGCTTTGTGTAAAAGCAATGATTTATAATCCAAGTGCCTAGGTTAGAGGTTTTGTTCTGCCCCCTATGACTTACTTTTGGATCAAATAATGATAAAGTGAGTTTTCAGTTTATTGCTATACTATATTCATGAAAAGAACCTTATATTAATATGTCAGAGGCTTATATTAATATATAAAGATCTTGATGAGATGCTATAGAAATGTTTGTTTATATCAATTAGCCTATGGTAAGTTGGTTTTATTGTATGTCATTTTGCTTAAAGTTGCAGAACCTATTGGTGACATTAGTCTGTATATGCTTTTGAAACAAAATGCCTAACATATCTCCACTTGAATTTAGCTCATTGTCATGCTAGATTCTATCTATCAGAGTAGATCCTACCTCCCTCTTCAAATGTGACCATTTTTCTGTGTGCTCTGTCTCAGATGGTGGCACCGTCGCTTACCAGTTCACCTAATCTGGAGCCTCTCTACACGCTTCTCTCGCCCCCTTAACTATTCAAAAGTTAATTCTTACCAAATCTTGCTCATTTTCCCTCAAAAATACATTTTGGGTCTGATTCTTTTCTCTAGTCCCTAGTTCACACTCACAATGACAATGCCCAGATCATTGGTTTATCCATTTAACATGGCCCATTTCGTTCCTGCCCCATGTCAGGGAAACAGGTACAATTCCTGCCTTTACTAAGCTGTGTCTGGCTAGCTTGCCATAACCGTATGTTAGGGGAGTTTCATGGCCAAAATCATGTGGCTTCATACAATACAATACTTTCTCACTCAGGGAATAGCTTGTGGAGTGAGCCAGTGGTGCAGTGGGCCTTTCTTCCTTACAGCATATTGTAGCAACCCACTCACTATATTTTCTCTTGGATATTTTCAGTTCACTGCTGCTCCTGCATTCCTACATATTTTAACAACATTATCGTAAAATATGATGGCTTTTAAGAGTTAATGAATAGCTGTGAATGTTGTGCAAGGCACTCGGAGAAATATCCTGGCTACTCATTGTAAATGGTTCCCATTGGAGCTTCATGCTTCCGGAAGGAAGCGTTTGTTTAAAATTCTTTCAACTGTTTTAGTTAGTTTAAACTTTGATTAAAAGTGAAATTACAAAAAAAATGAAAAATACCCTCAGTAATTTGACATTGTCAATAGGGAGCAGAAAGAACTGTATGCAATAGAATAGATACTTATTTAGATAATTTACTAGGCAAAATCATCAAAATATATGTGTTAAAAAGTATAATAATAGGTATCTCAATAAAATATGTCTGACCAAACACTTGGAACAGTTAGAAGCATAATTTTTTTTCCCCAAGGCAAGTTTCCAATTTATCTAGTTTGAATTTTATTGTGGGACCTATTACTTCTTAGTATGTTAATATATCTTCATAGCAACCTTTCCCTTCATCTCAATTTTTCATTGGCAACATTTCTTGGCTCTGCAAAACAGCATCTGAAAGTTGAGAGTGATGGACAGTGGATAGAGGATCCAAGGAGCTAGGTCATAAGTGATGGGCAAGTTCTGTATGACAAATAGATTTTGACTATTCAAAGATCTTTTAACTTACTTGCTAGTTCTTGGCTACAGTCTAGATAGGTGAATTATTATTATTATATTTATGAATAATGGCTTTATAAACTGAGGTGTGAAAGAAATTTAAAGATCAGCTGATAGCTTTCCAAAAATTTGATGAGAAAACTCTTTTTGCAGGACCAAGGGCATTAATGCAAAAAGTTTTTTTAAAAATCAAGTGTGTTTCAAAAATCTCAGACAATGAAATCATGGGTTCTATAATTCCAGGTATCTAAGTTTTATGGCTTTGGATGAGAAAGATAATTTTGTTTTATGTATCTACTCTCTCCCTCTTTTTAAAGTAGATTGTCTTTTAAATATTTAGTTTTACACAATATATTCAGTTTTAATATTGAATTCATATTGGAAAGGAACATTTTTGTTGTATTAAATGTAAATATTAGTACTTAAATATTTACTTGGTTTTTGTAAACTGGAATAATTATTTTAAATATATTGTACACTGTGACATAAACCATTTGGTATTCTATACATTATCGTAAAATCTGAGTTATTCCAAGTGACCATTTAAAATATTATATATATATATACTAGAGGCCCGGTGCATGAAATTCGTGCATGGGGCGGGGAGTCCCTCAGCCCAGCCTGCACCCTTTCCAATCCTGGACCCCTCGGGGGCTGTCCAACTGCCTGTTTAGGCCCCCAACTGCCTGGGATTGGGCCTAAACCGGAAGTTGGACATTCCTCTCGCAATCCGTGACCACTGGTTCCTAACTGCTCACCTGCCTGCCTGCCTGCTGTTCAGTCATTTGTTCGTCCCTCACTAACCCCCTGCCGGCCTGGTTGCCCCACGCATACTACTGTTCGGTTGTCAGTCTGGTTGTTTTAGTCATGATGGCTCCTGGCTTTTTTATATATTAGGATTTAAACCCTAATATTCATAAATGGGTACTTACGTTAAGCCTTTATAAATATTTATAATTGTTCAGAAAGCTTTGGGATCTCTTATTGGTCTTACATATCCTCCCCACTGCGAATCCATTATGTCTCAGAGTCCTCCACCACACACACTCAATGCAGATACTGGCCAGCTGCAATGCTGCTCCTTCCTGAAGCCTTTCTTAAATTGTTTGAAGGAGCTAATTAATACAGCATGTCCTTGAATAATTGTTAAGCTTAGATCACCCCAAATTCCCAAAGCGGTAGCTAGACATTTCTTTAGTGCAGTAACACATACAATTCCTAGTTACCAATAACTTTTACCAAAAAAAGAATTATATGGAATCTTGCTATGATGAATGAGTCTCAGATACACCTGTGTTTCTAGTTTTATCTACAGGGGAAAGAATGGTGCCATTTCTTGAGATATAGTAGGGCAATATTTTTCTGTTTTGTTTGTAATTGATATATTAGGTTATTGGAGTGGGAGAGGCTCTAGGAAGGGGTAAAGTACCCCCCACATGGCCACACCAGCTCCAATGCCTGGCCCCACGGCCTATGTTCAGCTCTAGGCACAGCATCATTCACAAACAGGGGGGAATGATATGCAGGTGATGTCATTAGCCTGACACTTTGAGACTGAAATGCACTTAGGAATTCAACAACTAGCTCAGGAAGAAAGTCTGTGCTGTAGATAAAGACTTGTTTGTCATCACCATATAGAGAAATAACAATGTCAGTGGTATGGGTTAGATAGCCCAGGAAAGAATATCAACTGAAAAGAAAGACAGCTCAGCAAAGAACCCTGGGCATTTCAGGAAAGGACTCCTAAGAACAGGATTCCTGTGGGGGAGACAAATCAGGAGATTAGAAAAGAGAGGGAGTTAACAGCATTTAATGACAGAGCGTTGATGACAGATAAATTAAGGACTAAGCTCTTTACATTGCTGATTTAAAACAATTTTGGAGGAATGGTAAAGACAGAAATAAGATGTATAGTGAGGAATGTTAAGAAGGGTAATTGTGAGGAAGAACCATTTATCCATTGGCTTAAGAAGCTGTCAATCTCAGAGACTGGGACAAATTCCTAGAGCTCTCTAGTTTGTGTCCTCATCTGTAAAAAAGGGAATTAAAATAAATGATCTCCAACCACCATTCTGCCTTAATATTTTATCACTCTAAGAGTCTAAATCAATTCATAAGCAGGAACAAAATTGTAACGAGCTAAGTTATACTTGATTGTCATTATAACATAAAGACTACATCCCTACAATTATATGCACATTAGCTCTGCATCTAAAAACCAGTGTGGTACTTGTCTTGTTTTTGTTGCATCATTTGCATTTTTCAGCAGTTCATGCTGTCATAGTTGACTTGAATTCGTAATTTGTTTTCATGAGTAGAAAGGTTGTATCACACTATTTTGAAGCACTAATAAAAAGAAAAAGTAGAATGGAAAATATACTAGTTTTACAAATAGATCTTTTGTCTTTGACATTAGGTTATTAAAGATTGCTTCTAAAACATTTTTATAAATCTCTTTTGAATCCCAGGTATTGCAATTTCAGATGAACTCGATAAGGTAAGTTGAACTATACATCTAAAAGAACATATAGAATTTAGGTTTTAATCCACTGAAACATAAAATGTTCAAATATAATTTATGGTGCTAATATTTAAAAAAATTTTCAGTTATATGCTTAGAATTTTAAATGAAAGTTATTAAATGAAATATGTAATATCACCTATTCTTTTGAGTTAAGGATTTTCAAATTTGGCTAGAGAAAACTGAACCACTGTAAGCATTAACAACTACATTAAAAAATGAAAACTAATAATATTATGTAAACTATTTGGATTTTGCTTGTATTGATGATGATGATATGGAAGAAACTTGTTATTTACTATAGCTGCTCTTTGTAAACCTTACTAAGTACTTTTCAAAATATATATTTATGGATTACAGAAAGGAAGGGAGAGGGAGAGAGAGATAGAAACATCAATGATGAGAGTCATTGATCGGCTGCCTCCTGCACGCCCCCTACTGGGGATCGAGCCCGCAACCCAGGCATTTGCCCTTGACTGGAATCGAACCAGGAACCTTTCAGTCTGCAGGCTGAAGCTCTATCCACTGAGCCAAACCAGCTAGGGCTTACTAAGTATTTTTTAAAAGTAATTTTAAGATGCCAAGAGAATATGATGATGCCTTGCACTAGTGATAGTTGTGAAGGTGGTGGGAAGTGATATGATTAGGAATATATTTTAGCAGTAGTATCTTTGGAGCTTGCTATGGATTGGATCTGAGGACTAGTAGAAGAGATCAGTCAGTGATGATTCTTACGTTTGGAGGATGAGAAATTAAATGATCTGTGGTGCCATTTACCAAAATTAGAAAAACTGGGGAGAGAGCAAATTTGACAGGTTGGGATAGCATCAACAGTACTCAGTCCTAGCCCTAGTCAGTTTGCTCAGTGGATAGAGCATCGGCCCGTGGACTGAACAGTCCTGGGTTTGATTCCAGTCAAGGGCATGTACCTGGGTTGCCAGCTGGATTCCCGTCCCTGTCAGGGCTCATGCGGGAGGCAACCAGTCGATGTGTCTCTCTCACATCGATGTTTTTGTCTCTGTGTTTCTCCCCCTCCCTTCTACTCTCTTTAAAAATAATGGAAATATATCCTCAGGTGAGGATTAGCAACAACAACAACAAAGAGTTCGCTTTTGTAATGTTTATTTTGAGTTGTCTGTTAAATATTGTTTATATGAGTTGCTGCTCATAAGAAAGTTTTGATTTAGTGTTATACATTTAGGAGTCAGTCATTGGGCTAGACGTTCTTATTTTTTTGGTCTCAGGATCCCAAAAAACTTTGCATTGTGTAGATTATACCTATTAATATTTTACCATGTTAGAAATTAAAACTGATAAAAAAGTTTACATGCATTTATTTTAAACAAAATAGCAGTGACAGAACCATTACATTAAAAAAAATATTTTTGCCTTATCCAGTTTGGCTCAGTGGATAGAGCCTCCGCCTGCAGACTGAAGGGTCCCAGGTTCGATTCCGGTCAAGGGCATGTACCTTGGTTGCAGGCACATCCCCAGTAGGGGATATGCAGGAGGCGGCTGATCGATGTTTCTCTCTCATCGATGTTTCTAACTCTCTATCCCTCTTCCTTCCTCTCTGTAAAAAAATCAATAAAATATATTTTAAAAAATGTTTTTATGAAAAAGTACTTTGTTTTCCAAAATAAGGTACTTATGAGAAAGTTACATTATTTACAGTTTAAAAGAAACCTCTTTAATGCCTGGCTTAATTAGAAACTGCTGAATTTTCATATCCACTTCTGCATTCAATCTGTTGTGATATGTGGCTTTGGCTGAAGAAAAATTTTTGTCATGAGGTATGTAGTTGGAAAAGGGAGAAGCACTTAGAACTAGCCATCAATATTTGGTGAACATTGGTACAAATATCTCTCTAAACAGAAAACGTATTTAATTTGGCCTCATGTTAGATTTATAGCTAGAAAATGGTAGAAATTATTGTACAAAAATGGGATCATACAGTCATGCCATTTTAAAATAATAAACTATAATGTAACGATTACATTATTTATATAAAAACAATAGTTAGCATTTTTTCTATTCCAAATAGGAATATATCTTTTAAGTTTTAATAGAAGTACATATATGATGAAATAAATAAATAAAATTGATGAATATATTATTAAATATGATTTCCCTTTAACAAGTCATCTAATAATAAAATTACTTTAATTTCTATCTGTATTAACTCCATGCAAAACTAGATCATGACTATGTACCGTAGCTCATGGAGTAAGTGGCAGATGGGGTATCTGGCTTTGTCCTGTTTTTCTAGTCTTTCTCTGCAAAGCCATCATTGTCTTTGCCCAAACTGATCTCCTTATACCCTGATATTCCTTCCAGTTTGCAGAAATGTAATAATCCATGCTCTTGAAGATATACTCTAGGTTCATTTTAAGTACAAAGACATAATCATTGCCATTTCTAGGTTCATTTGTTCCTTCTAATATATTTTGCAAAGCCCTGGATGCCGGAGCCATCAATTAGCTGTGTGATTCTACTTTCCTTCCCTTTTTCTGGGCCCTGGCTTGCAGCTGGGTTAGTGTCTACACCATTTTTGGTGCGAGAAAGAGCATAGTAATTGTTCTTTGAACTGAAAATGGATTTCACCTTCACTGGGTAACATTGTAGGTGCCCTGGGGTCTCCAAGGATTACCCTAGGATACATCTTCCCCCTTCTCTCCTCTCTTCCAGTATTAGCAAGAGTTTTCATTTAAATAAGTTGTACATATTGCTGATTTTAATTTTCTTACTTAATATTGTATTTTAAAGACTTTATAGAAATTGCTGGAATTTATTGCACATTTATTATTTTTCATTTTCATTGAGGAAGCCACCAGTTGTCATACTAAATGAGCTTTTATTGAAAAATATAGTTGTGTCAGTACAAAAAACTGTTCCCACTCACACCTGATTTTCAAGAGTGTCAGATAATACAAAAGAAACACAGCCTACATTCTTTGCCTTCCTGGAACCCTTCTTGAAGAGGGACAGCCTGCCCCATGGTGCCCTCTGGTGACCACAAAACTCAGTTTTGCATTTTGCTCGGTAAGAAAAAGTGTATCTCAGGCAGGTACTAAAAGCAGTCAAACAGAAAAAGGGGACATCTGTAATACTTTCAACAATAAAGATAAATTTTTAAAAATCAGTCAAACAGAAAGGTTTACAATTTGTGTAGAGCTGACACCTTGTCTTCACTATAATAAAAAAAAATATATTCTTCCTTTTAATCTTCCATTAACATTTTGGGGATTCACTAAAGATAATATTCTTCTTAACCTTTATAAAATACTGGCCTCTAGTTAGATCATAATTTACTGTCACTCTAGTTAGATCATAATTTCATTGAAATTATTTATTCTGTGATCTTTAAAAGTAGTTTATGAATTCTATAAAAGATAAGAGTTATTACTAGTAATTCTATTTAAAATGAAATGATAAAATAAAACAAGACTATTTTAAAGCCTTAAACTGTGAATTCTAGAAATTTCTTTCTGCTTAGTCACTATATTGGTTTTCTATATTGCTGTAACAAAGTAAAACAAGATGATTTATTATCTTATAGTTTTATAGTTTAGAAGTTCTACATGAGTGTTCCTGGCTGTCATAGAGCTATATTCCTTCCTGAAGTTCTTTATGACCTTCAGGAATGAGCACAAATCACATAAAGTAAGTCATCTAGTAGAGATGGAAAGAACTGAAATTTTAAGTTAATTCAGAAAGGAAAAAGAACATTTTGATTTGAGGAAGCAGTTGAAACTCTAGATAAAATTATTTCGTTGTCCTATTGTAAAGAGTAAATAAGCTAAGGCAGCACATTCTTTTTTCCTCTTCAGGAAACAGTGGCATTTAATTCTTCTCTTCTAAGACCCCGTGTAATTGGAGAATGGATTGGTCGAGAAGAGAATGATGCTGACCCATTAGCAGCCGAAATGCTACAGCCCCCAATTCCAAGAAGTAAAAATGAACAATGGGAAAGTGAAGATAGCAGCTCTAGCCCCACAGGAAGGTAAGATGAGATGGTGTCTAAGATTCTGAAAATTATTAATCATTACAAGGTGAAGGAAAAATAAATCCAGGTGCATGATTTTGTTGAAGTAAGTCTTAGCAAATTTATATAGAAAATTATGTTGGACTCCACACAAGATAAAAATTAATTTCTCTGTTTTAAAATTAGAGTGCTACTAGAATTGCTTTTAGATTTTGGTTTTGATTTTTTTTCTTTACATCTAAAAAAAATTACCATCTCTTTGTATCTAATACCAAATAGAGAAATAATTTCAAGGATATAAACTGTAGTTGAGATTTTCTATAATATTGAGCAGGGAATAGCTGACTGTTAAGAATTGAAAGAACATATATCTTTATGAATAAGTGTTTTCAAAATTTTCGGGTAGATACCCAGAAGAGGGATTGCTGAGTTATATGGTAGCTCTGTTCTTCATTGTTGAATGAACCTCCATACTGTTTGCCATAGTGGCTGTACCAGTTTACATCCCCACTAGCAGTGTGTGAGGGTTCCTTTTTCTCCATATCTTTTCCAACACTTGTTATTTCTTGATTTATTCAGAATGGCCATTATTACAGGTGTGAAGTGGTATCTCATTGTGGTTTTGACTTGCATTTCCTGTATAGCTAGTGAAGTTGAGCATCTTTTCATATATTTGTATGTCTTCTTGGGAAAAGTGTTGATTCATGTCCTCTGCCCCTCTTATAATTGGATTGTTGGTTTTGTTGTTGTTGAGTTGTGTGAGTTCTTTATTGAAGAACCTTATGGAAGTAAATTTGCAAATATCTTCTCCCTTTCAATTGGTTGCCTTTTTGTTTTGCTGAAGGCTTCTTTGGCTGTGCAAAATCTTTTTAGTTTGATATAGTTAGTCCCATCCATTTATTTTTGCTTTTCTTTTCCTTTCCTTTGTGGTCAAGTTCATAAAAACCTCTCTGAGACCAAGGGACATAAAACAGAAATAGACACAGACAACAGTATGGTGGTTACCAGAGGAGGAAGGGGGTCAGGAGAGGATGAAGAGGGTAAAGGCAGGCAAATATATGGTGACAAAGGAGACAAGACTTTGGGTGGTGAGCATACAATGCAATATACAGATGATGTATTGTGGAATTGTATACCTGAAACTTACACAGTGGTATTAAACAATGCATTTAATTTAAAAAAGAATCTAAAAGGGAGAACTTCTGATGTACAAGAGACATAATCAACAGGGGTAAGAAAACTATTTAATGTATAATAGACAATACAAGGCAGTGCTAATGTGGAATATAACGAAAAAAGAAAACCCTTGGTTGAAACCATTTAAGTTTAGAGTTGATAACTATGACTGCATATACATTTTCTTTGTTTAATGTTTAGAAACTATTACGATTTGTAAGTTTGAAAGTCCATATTTCATTTCGCTCAGACCTATGATGCTCAGAATGGGTGACAAGAGATTTGCCTTACGTTTCCATAGGCTGGTAGAAGGGAAATGTTCAGATCATATTTATTAGAAAAAGTATATTTAAATAGCAATTGCAATGAGTAAAACTCAAAACAAAAATGAAAACTTCTATAAGAGAGTTGGAGTGATAAAAGCATTATGAAGCATGACATACACGAGGCTGAGAAAATGGATATAAATACCCATGAACTGAAATGTGGCTGGAGCTAAAACTACCCGTTAGTGTTACTAGCGGAGCACCTCAGAAGAGCTTTTCCTATACATTGCATAGCCACAGTAACTTTGTATATCCTATGTTAAATTTAGCAGCAAGCAATAACTATTCTTTCTCAAGGAGAAAATTGTATTTTCTACAATATAATAGCTTTCAGGCTTTTTTCACTTTGACTTATCACTTGGCTGGAGGGAAGGAAATTCAGAATACTTATTAATATGCTTTAGGCATATAAGAAAAATGATTCCATTTCCATGAGAAATAACTTTTAAATTATTTAAGTAGTTTGAGTTTCCTATGTAAGGAGAATAAAACCATTTTTAAAAATCCATTTACCTTCTTTTGTAAAATGCCAGATCAATTTCACCTGTCAATGAGGGTAATTTCATTTTTAATACCAGGCTTATGAAACCTGGTATTGCTTTATCTTTATTCATTGCTAGATCTTTAGTTCTTAAATATAAAATAGAGAAATGTCAATTTTCATTTTGCTTTCATTTAGTCATAATAATAATTGGAGCTATTTATTGCAAATGTTAGTGTTTCTATTTTCTTCCTAGCTTATGTGAGCTCTTATTTTCTCTTGAATACCATTAAAGGGAATCTTTCCTGCAATTCTAGTTCAATACCTTACCCATAAAAACTCAATCCATAAATATCTCTCTCAAATACTTGTGTAAAAATGTTTTCAGTTTTGTTTTTCTCTAGCTTTAAATTATGAGTTGAGATATTACCTATGAAATGAAGAAAGTGGTGAAGTCCTACTCAGATGCCCCAGTAGAGCTGAAATATAATGTATGCATACCTGAACTGGATTTAAAGAATAACAATAAACTATGAATGGGAAACTGTATCTCTCCCATCTTCTAATACATAACAGGATTTCTGAATTTATACCAGGCACTCATATAGCATTAGATTTAATTTGGATGAATAAGAAGGGGTTGAGAAGAAATTTTTAAATGACTCTACAATTTTCAGCTTTTGTCTTTAAATAGTTATGAAATTGTACTATACCTTAACAGTCATGAACATTCACAGATTACATGATATTCTAGATCCTGAAAGAAAAGACTTAATTTTCAAAGATGACTCCTTCCATTTTCCTTTCTGCTAATGGGACCCACATGCTGTTGTTGAAAATAGACATCAGTCATATATGAGTGAAGGAGGCACATAGATGGCATCCAGTAGACGTGTGCTAAATGAAGCCTACTTATAAGAAGGATTGTTTATTGTCCATCTTAATTTTTTGTACTTTTTCCTGTCTTGGTCTTTCCTGTTGTTTAATGCTCAAATCTTATTTGAATGTCTGTTATGACTGTCCTCCATCTTTGGTACATACCCAACTTTCCCTTTCATTCAGAATAATACATACACAATAGACTGGACTTTCACCATTAGATTAGAGAGGATTAAATAAAAGCATAGTGAACCTTAAGAGTCTTATGGGTAGAAACTTACCCACAGTTTCCTCCGGGAAGTTTTTTTTTTAAATGATATTTCTTATATGAACTTGTTCCTTAGGTTCTGCAATACAGCATTGTATGAAAAGAGTTAACAAATTTAATAAGCATTGCTGTGACTTGAAGGGTTAGGTGCTGGTTCAAACAAAGGCAATTACCGTAGGAAGGAGATATGGAGAAACTATTAGAATAAGACAGAAGCTACTAACACAGAATCAATGAACCCTATATGGTCACTGGATGGACTCAAGAGATCTTTGAATCTCTTGAAATTACATGGAAAATGTTGTCTGTATGTGCACATGGACATTTTCCTGCATTTTTATGCCATATCTTTCATAGATGTCAAAGTGGTTCTAAATTAAGACAAAGAAATAAATTAAAGCATCTAAGCTATAAAAGAAAGAGGGATCACAAAAGAGAAAGGGGAATATGTTGGGGAATGATTGAAAGTTTTCCACAATTGTCAGATAAAACCAATTGGCATTAATTGTTATGACTTGTCTAGCCATTTAGGGGGGAAATATATATATATATATATGTTTATTGCACATTTAGAGTTATTAAAAATAATCACATTAATAATACAAACAAAAAATAAGTTTAATAAAACTATATAATTCTATCTTAAGCCATCTTAATTAGATTTTGTGAAAGCTGGGTAATGGAGTTTCCAAAATTACTTGCTGAATTGTAATGTGAATTTGTAAATAGGCTCATCAAGGCTTGAAAGCCTAATGAAGCTTCTCTAAGTTGAGCCACCTTATTAAAACAAGAACAATATAAATAAATAATATATATCTGGTGAATTGGCTTTATTTGCTAAATGAACATTGTTATTAGATGGCAAATAGGCCATAAAATGGATAGAAAATCTTACAAATTATCAATATATATTATTAAAATAAAAGCCAAAATCTCTTCCCATTAAGAAGTTTTCCCTTTCATTGAAACTCATCATTGCTTTTGCTATATCTATAAACAAAGGCTGGAAATGTTCCCCTTTCTTTAGAGTACCCTTTATTAGCAGCAAGAGACAAGCAATAAACAAGTGAATATAAAAATATCAGCCATAAATTTAAGTAGTGATAAGTAATATGATAGAAAGTAAACCATAATAAAAAGTAAGAAAATGGATGGAACAAAGAACCTTAATACATATTGTCAGATTTTGACTGTGTAGATACGATAGAAATATAAATTGAACTTATTAATTTAGGAGTACTCTAAGATGTAAATTTTAAGCATAAAGAATGTTAATTAATAAAAAATCTATCAACCAAAGAACAGAAGCCTTAAAAAGATCTAAAACATAACAAAATTATACCTTATGACTCAAAAATTTCTATTTAAAGCCAAAAAATATGTCACTAAGTCATGAATTTATATCAGGAGGTTGATGAGGTCATTTTTACATGTTCAAAATATGGACTCATAGACTCATAGATGGACTCTCATTAAACAGTCATCATTTGGGTCTCACAGCCCAGCACTATCTTTATGACCAAACCATGTATTTTAATGAGACCGAGGACAACAATTGTGCCCACCTTCATGAAATGGTCTTGGTCATTCTTGGTTGATGAATAGGAGTCACACATCTGCAACCTGCCATTTGTTCCTCATCTTCCACATTTCGACGTTCATATTTTTCCTTCTTCTGTTTCATGACCAGTCTTCCTATTGCCCTGGATTTTCATTTCTCATATGCATCTACTTAAATGAATTCTCATTTTATTTAGTGTGTTTTAAAAAATGAAGTTCAAAAAGAAAAAGTGATTTAGAAAGTATCTATTGAGCATTAACAGAAGGTAACGTGCTAGGTACAGAATAGCTTCTGCCTACTAGGCTGTGATGGTGAACTGAAACAAGCTTAGGATACAAGTCAAGAGAGGAATCATCCAGTTTGCCACTGAAGAGAGCGTATGGGCTCAAATAGAATATTTACTAACCCCGTATTCAGAAACAGTGTGTGAAACAAAATGGATCAAGGTCAAGTCCGGGGAAGAGTGGGACCAGGAAGAAGGCTGTCCAGAGGGAAGAGGAAGTGTCCACCTGGAGAGGTAGGCACACCAGGGCAGGGACATCAAAGCCACTTTAAATTGTCCCTTTCCATCTGATCTTGGTTTAGAAGTTACCCTTTTAAAGCAAAGCAAAATAGATTCCTAGAGTGTATCAACACCACACTGAAATATTAAGTGCTATTCTTTTTCATATGGCCTAAGGCCTCTTGTGGTTCCCTTTCCCTTTTGTTTTTCTAATTTAAATTTTATTTTCAATTAAAGTTTACATTCAATACTATTTTGTATTAGTTTGGGGTGTATAATATAGTAGTTAGACAATCATATACTTGACAAAGTGATTCCCCTGATATTTGCAGTACCCACATAGTTATTCCAATATTATTGACTACTAGAGGCCCAATGCATGAAATTTGTGCAAGAATAGGCCTTCCTTCCCCCAGCTGCCAGCATCGGCTTCCCTGTCAGCACCAGCTTCCCTCTTCCCTTCCTTCCCCCTGTGGCCACCGGCAGGAACCCGGGACCTGGGCTTCCCTCACAGCCCTAGATTCCTCTGGAAGGATGGAAGGACGTCCAGAAGGGCATCCAGTCTAATTAGCATATTACGCTTTTATTATTATAGATATTCCTTATGCTGTACTTTCTATGTGAGATACAAGTGCTCACGAAGAAACATAAATATTTAGAAAGCTGCCCATTATGTACTTTGAACATATAATGATATTGGTTACCACTTTAGAGACTGCTCTATGTGTTTCCTCATAAAAACATTATTATTCCCATTTTAGAAATAAGGAACTAAGTCCCAAAGTGAATAGCTGTGAAGTAGCAGAGCTAGGCTGTTTTGCTTTCAAATTCTGTGTCCTTAATACTTTTCTTCAGGGAAAAGTTCTAAGAATCCCAATATTATTAAAATTTAGGTTCAATATCTGGGTAAGAGGGGGCCCAGAACCCTAAGTGCTCTTAGAAACACCCCAAACCCATCTCTCCCCATCTCTCCACCTCCTGTTTGCATTAAGATCCTGCTTCCCTTCCATGTCCTCTCTCATGGTGCAGTTTTCACTTCTATAATCCACAGGCCTTTCTCATTCAAAAGGCCTTCTCAATGAATACAGTTTGTCAAGGAAGATTTTTAAATTTTACATTATTTCTCACCTTAAAAGACACATGGCAAAATTATTCAGAAGACTGATGCCATGACAAGAAATTGGGGTAAATAAGCCTCCATCAATTTACAAGTGAATATTTTATGTTTTATCTCTACTATTAAAATATACAAATGAGTCTCATTAATTGAATTTGAATTTATACTGATAGTTGCTAAAATAGAAACACATATTTTAAAAGATATGCCTTTTTTATCACAACAATAGTTCCTGTTTAAGTGGGGAACCTAATTTAGAATGGAAGTTAAAGTTGAAATAAGTATTGTTGACAAGAGTATGCCTTCATTATAATTTCTCTTATTTTTACCCTCAAGTTTTCACTTTGAAAAGTATCAAACGGCAGAAAATTTAAGAATAGTAATATCAATATCTACATACCCTCCACATATATTCACCAATTAACATTTTGCCTTTGTGTTACCTATGGTACTAGATCAATCTATTCTAATTTATTTATCCTATTTTTTTAATGTTAAACCACCTGAAAATAAGTTATAGGTATTATAATGTGTTAATTCCTTAATTCTTTAACATTTATTTCTTGAGAATAAGGATATCCTCATATACAACTATAATGCCATTAACATAACAAAACTTTTAACAGTGATACTATAAAATTATCTAATATGAAGTCTATATTCAACTTTCTCTCTTTTTTCCAGTAGAGTCTTTTATAGATTGTTGTGTTTTGGTGTTTGTTTGTTTGTTTGTTTCTTTTTTATCCACCATCTAATGAAGGATCATGTGTGGAGTTAAGTTTTCAAGTCTCTTTAGTCTCTATAATCTAGAACAGTCTCCGACTTTTGTTTTATTTTATAACATTGATATCCTTGTAGATGGCAGGCAATTGTTTCCAAATCTGGACATGTCTGATTGTTTCCTGATCATTAAACTCAAGTTAAATATTTTTGGCAGTAATTCTACATAGGTAGTAGTACTGAGTACTTCTTCTTTTTCCCATATCTAGAGATTCATAATGTCAGTTTGCCCCATTATTGCTGATACTGAGTTTGTTTACTTGCAAGGTTAAGGCCATATCCACTAGGGTTCTTCATTGTGAAGATATCATTTGCTCTTTGTAATTAACAAGTCATCTACCACCTCTGCTTTGGAAAAGATGGCACAGACTCTCTCAGCTCCTTCCCCTTAAATACAACTATAAACCTTGGAAATAATGCAAAAGGCAGCCAGAGCAGTTTTATGCTGTGAAAATGTAAAGGGGAAGATGGAATGGCTAGGGATCTGACGGCTGGAGGAACAACAGTGGCCAGCAACGTATGATTCTCCCACCAACAGCGTAAGGCAAACTGGGCCTGGCATTTCCCAACCCCAAACTAGCAAGAGGAGGTGGTGGCCTCGATAAGTTCATTTTCCCCCCTCATCAAACAGGAGTCCTGCCGGCCTCACTGGCAGAGCCTGGTTGCACTGGCCAGGGAATTGACAGAGTCCCACTCACAAGAAAGGCTCAGAGGACATACTGTCCTTTCCTGCCAGACTTGAGACTCCTCTTCCCCACTGAAGACAGTGGGCAGTTAAGTGCCTTTTACTCGACAAAAAGACACAAGAGGGATCCCTCCACAACAAAGCTTGACATGGGAATCCTTTATGTCCCCACAGCCAGACATTCCCTTTATCTACCTAAAGGCACCGGATGCACAACCTGGAGATGCTCCTTTGCCCTCTCAGGCAATACCAGCAGGTACACTGGGAGCCACAGCAACACCAGATAGCCCAAGCAGACTAAAATAGCACTTCAAGAGCTCTGAAGCTGTCCCTGGAACCACAAGTTACAAAAGTAAGCCAGGTGGCTGCCTTTTAAAATAAAAGATATGAATAGGCCCCAGACACTCTTAAAATAATAGTCAAATTGTGCAAATCACATTATCCGAAGAACCAGGAAAACCACACCTTACATGAGAAAAGATAGTCAACTAATGCCAACATTAGGATGAATCAGATGATGGAATTATCTGGCAAAGAATTTAAATGCATGTGTTTCCTAAAATAGAGTCAGAAGATGAAGTGGCATCATTCTCACATCAGACATTAAATTACAATATGCGATTGACTTTCTTCAGTGAACATGCAACTCCCACAATTTGCTCTGATCATGTCAGCATCACTGAAACCCTCAGCCATCTTATTTACAACAGTGGTTCTCAACCTTCCTAATGCCGCGACCCTTTAATACAGTTCCTCATGTTGTGGTGACCCCCAATTTCATTGTTACAAATTGAACGTAATTAAAGCATAGTGATTAATCACAAAAAAATATGTAATTATATATGTGTTTTCCGATGGTCTTAGGTGACCCCTGTGAAGGGGTCGTTCGACCCCCAAAGGGGTCGCGACCCACAGGTTGAGAACCGCTGGTTTACAACTTTGAACTTTATTTTGGATTCTTCCCATTAAATCTAATTAATCCTGCTATTAAAAAAATCATAAAAATGCTTCAACAAGCAATTATAAGTTCCCTTGAAACAAATGAGAACACCAAATATCAACAAATATAAATACTGACAAAGAACCAAGTGAAATTTATGTAACTGAAACAAAATATAAAAACTTGTTAAATGGACCCAGATTGGAAATGACAGAGTATAGAATTTTTTAATGAGGATAGATCTATAGAATTTATCCAAAATGAACACCAGAGAGAAAATAGACTAAAACTTATATATATGCCCAATCAAAATTTCAGCAGGTTATTTTGTGAATATCAACTAACTGATTCCAAAGTTTGTATAGAGTGGTAAAAGACCCAGAACGGTGAACAAATTATTGAAAGAGAAGAACGAAATTGGAGAACTGATATTATCTTACCCTAAGACTTACTATAAATCCACAGTAATCAAGACAATGTATATTGGCAAAAGATTAGAGAATGGGACAGAAAAGAGAGGCCAGATAGCCCAGAAATATAGTAAACTAATCTTTGACAAAGGAGCCAAAGCAATCCAATGGAGCAAAGGTAGCCTTTTCTACAAATGGTGCTGGAACAACTGGACATCTACATGTTAAAAAAAAAAAAGAAGTCTAGACAGAGACCTCACACCCTTCCCAAAATTTAACTCTAAATGGGTCATAGACCTAAATGTAAAATGTAAAACTAAAAAACTTCTATAAGAAAATAAGAGATAACCTATATGACCTCAGGTGTGGCAGTGAATTTTTAGGTATAACACCAAAGGCACAATCCATGAAAAAAAAATATAAGCTGGACTTTATTAAAATGAAAACTTGAGAAATGAGGTACCAAAGGATGTCTATGAAAGAAGACAGGCTCTGTATTTTTACTATACTTGGGGAAAATTTTAATAAAATGTCCATAAATTTGCATGGCAAAATAATGGAATGAAATGTGATTGTCGATTTTCTTCACTCACCACAGCTAATGCATCATGTCATCATCGTTGAAAGTTAACACTTAAATATTTCTTCAGCTTAAAGGTGGAACCCAAGACCAAGGGATTAAAACAACAGCAACAGCAACATAAGAAACTGCTGGCAGCAATGCTCTCTCAAGATTCTTTTGAGTCTATTCACAGCCCTACCCCACCTGTAACAGAAGAAGATATTGATAATGAAGATGATGCAATGGAATTGCTGGGTAATTTTAAAAATTAATAATTTCTCTTTTTATTCTTCTTTGGCATTGTAAAATGTATGGTGATTAAGAGACTTTAAGAGTTTTGAATAGTTTTGTCTTAGGGGAAAGAGCTTAACACACATTTTATTCACATTAGACTTTTATGAAGTTGCATCTAAGAGCTAAGTTGAAATCACCTAAGCATGCGAACTATTAGACTGTACTTTGTGTTTTATATATGCAGCTCTTTGCCTTCTAACTATTTAATCAAGCTTTATTCTGTGTGCAATTGTGATATTCAGTTGTTTGCTTTATTCTCTGATTATAATTGCCTTGATTACAGCTTTTGTCTATAAAATGTATCCAAAGTACATATTTCAATCCTTATCCCATATGTCCCCTGTTATTTAAGAATGTTTCATAAAAATAGGTTAAATTTAAAGAGGCAGAGAGTAAAACTAATGCTTTATATTTTCCATAAGTGACAGAAAAGTTGAAATGTAGACATTTCAGTTTTTAACTTTTTCATAGGCCCATTACTTTCATAAGAATGTTATTCATGTTGTATATGTAAGAAATCCTTTTATGTCTATTAATGAAGTAAATGTATGTTTCTGTGTCATCAGAAATATTTTTGTAGTAACTTTAAAAACTTGAACTTCCCTTTGGAAAACCATTTTTTCCAAAAGAAGGAAATGAACTTTTATTTCAGAGAAAGTGATCCACATATAAAACAACATTTTTTGTCAGTGATATCAATTATTCTATTCCACATAATTAGAGCAATTTTAAATACTTTGTAACAATATACTAGTAAGAGAATAAGTCTAGTCATTTGAAAGCTTTAAATAAGTTTAACATATAAAATATGGAGTCCCAGAAATATGCATATATTTAATTTTTTTTCTTATACCAGATTCTTTGGTTTTAAGTATTTATGACAGTAAAACACTATCATTATGATAAGTGATGTAGGTTTCTTTGCATTGGCCTACAGAGGTGTTATTTAGTCGGTGATAGCGGGCTCACTGATGTTTTCTGATGTTATAATACCTGCATTTATTCTAGCATTGAGGAGACTATATCATGGTATTTTCACCTCAAGCTGTTGGTCTCTCTCTCTCTCTTTTAAAAGAACAATTAAGCCTTGGTGCTTCTTAAGGAATCTTCTCTTCCCCACCTCCAAATCATTACTGTGGCAGATGTGCAGTATGTGGTGGTCAGACCTTTTTCAGTTAATTTCCATTCAACAAGTATTTACTGAGCACTTACTATGTGCTAGGCAGTGAGTCCTGGGGACATAAAAATAAAATAATCACGGTCTCTGTTTGCTAGAACGTCACCTTCTAGTGTTCAAGATAAAAAATGTAAATACATCACTCCAGTAGTGTTGCTGCAGGTCTAATTTGATTAAGTTTACAGCTGTATATAGGGAGAATCCCCAATGCAGGAGTAGGGGACGGCGATCAGGGAATATTTCCTAAAGAAACTGATTGTTCTGGTGAGTCCCGGGATGCATCGTCAGCAGGCAGAGTGCGATCATTCTCTTTGTAGGTTTACTCTGGTGGGAATGGAATCTCTGCATTTATGCCCCAGGACAGTGCTTATAAATTGTTCTCTGCTTTGGTCAGTAACAATGAATCGACATTGGATTGTGCCGACATCTTCCTCTCTCTATCCTTTCCTGTAAATGACAGCTCATCGTCAGCTAATGTCCACATGAAGGCAGCTGTCGCTTGCCACAAGAATCTTTTGAAGAAATGCAGGCTCAGAATCACTGTAGGGTTACTGATAGCCTCAGGAGTTCAGAGGAGATCACAGAACTTCGGTGGTTTCTCAAGGGATTCTTTAAGGAGACTCTGATGTCCACTCAGTGCTGGTGCCCCCTAGATGTCAGCTGCTCTGTTATCGTGTCTGGTCTCCCAAGCTGACGACCAGAGGATTGGGTTTTGACTACCTAACGTGACAACTAATAGCTGGTCCTCATTAATTTTTTTTTCATTTAGACATTTTGGCAAATTTAATCATAAGAGATAGTCAAAGGACTTGGCCTTTCTTCCTGTAATTCTACATGTCTCAGCACAGATGGCTGGTGGTATACTAAGGCTGATCTCCACATGCTCCAAGTCCATCAGTCTATCCCCTAAAATAATGCCATACGCAGCTTTCCCTGGTGCTTACTAGTCTCCATGAACAAAGGTGATATAGCAGAAAATTCAGTCCAAAAGTTGGTTTTACCCAGAAAGTTCATCTACTACATAAAATGTCATTTGAATATGAAATATGTTTGATTAAGGCCCAAATATTTGTACCCACTAATATAATTTAATTAGTTTTAAAATACATATTTAAAATATAAACTCAGAGTTTTCTTCAAAAGTAACTAGTATATATAAATTCATTACATACGATGTTACTTATGTCTCACTAAGGTAATGGCTCATCTTTTATATGAAATTAAACAAATGTACATGATAATTTGAGTTAACACAAGAAGCAAGAATTTTTTCAGTCATGATACAATGATAGGTTAATATGCCAAGTATAGATATAGCATAAAATAGTTCTTATTTATTTCAGGACTTGACATCTTGGGTAGCCATGTATATCTCTTAATATTTCAATGAAATCATTGGTACAATACTCCTAAATCTATTTAGAAACTATAAAAATCTACCTTCCTAGTCCTTTTAATATTAGATTTCCATCATTTTGTTTATTATAGAATTTTAAGACAATAGTTTTGAAACTCTGCTTCTAAAGAAACATCTGATTATATTTATTTGAAACAAATTCAAATGCATAAGTTCTTGAAAATTTCATGAAGTATAATTGTAGTACATAGAATCAAGTGTAAAATCAAACAGAGACATCTGGTACTTAAAATATCTTTTTTAAGCTACCATGTTTTGTAGAATGGTTTAGCTCTAGCTTATGTGTTTTAGGGTTTAAGTTGTCATTATCTATACCATGATTTAACAGTTGAATTTTTATTTATTATGCATGTGAAGCACTCTGTAAACTTTTTGAAGTGATAAATAAGTAAAAGGTATAATGATTAGCTTACATTAATATATAAATAATTATTCCTTAGCAAAACTGATTGGTTGGAAGGGTTTTTGGAAAAAGGTTTTTAGTTGAAGTAGTAAACTTTAACAAAACTATTAATCCTGGTTTTGTTTATTATGAAATCTAGCATTGTTAATATATACTAATATTTAATTCTCTACAGTTTCGTTGCATTTTTGTAGATTTATTTTCTAAATGTATTGGGTATATGAAAAAAATTTTAGTACACCATTTATAATTTTTTATGTAGTTTAAATATTTTCTGTAGGATTGCTTTAAATACTACTTATAAATTCATAGTATATAAGACAATTAATATGGAATTACTATAATCAGAGAATAACATCAAAATTTGTGGAGTGTAAGATATAATAATTTTAATCACTTCTGAATTTGGTACTCTGATTACAGAAGAAATTGAATAAAATATCTCCGTGTCACCTTAAATTAAATAACTTTCACTTCAAATATAAGATATTCTCAGTTATTTTAGTAATTGTGCTAGAAATTAATGACTACAATGAGTAAGCCATAATAAAACATTTTCATGCTTTTTAAGTTATTAAAATAAGTAATTTTCAAAAATGGAAAGACAAGTTACAGTGGTAAAGATATAAAAACCTTTATGTATTTTATTTTACTATTTTTTACAGAAAATTTGAGGGACTTCATTAGTTTCAAAGATTTCACTTTGTGAATATGAGCCCATTTTCATCATGTTACATGCATTTTTCTTCTTATTTTTTATGAAATGCTAATTGTAATACATATTTGTTCTCTGCATAATTTATACTCATTAAAATATCATTAGAATTATTTGAAAGATACAACTACTTTTCTTACACATTTTAGTATGGGTTATTACTCTTTAAAAATTTTTATGCTTTCTCAGAATTGATGATGAGGCTAATATCTAAAAATCACATGCAGGAAGTACTAAAAAGAAAAATAAACAGGATTAGTCATGCTTTATACTTTCTAGTCATAGGTCACAGTCATCTAAAAATTAAAACTAAAGTTATATTACCAAAACATACAAGGTGCTTAAAAATATTTTTTATTTGTTATAAATTTAATAGTTAAGAACAAGCATAATTGTACAGTACTGGTATTCTTTGCAGAATATAGTAATTGAGTTTCTAAAAAACTCAGTATATTACCACATTCTGTAAAATATAAACTTTTTTTCTGGAGGCACTCATGACATCAAAATGATCCTTTGGCAAATTCTTCTGCATTTTTTTAAAGTAAATATTCACTCTGCTTTTTGTTTTTAATTGGAGACTTCTTAAAATAGACAGTACCCGTTTTTGCAAAATAGCATGCATTTTACCTAATGAGAAATGGGTGCTGTCACTCTATTTTGTTCACGGGGGTGAGGGCCTTAATGAAAACAATAATTTATCTACCTATTGTCTACCTGTATTTTAATGGTCTAAAGTGTGTGAAATAGACTGGAGCACATGGGAACATAGATACACACGTTGTTTCCTTTGAGAATCACTCATTGGGCGTATCAGGGCAACATAAATGTTATCACTTTTAAAATGTAGATTTTTTTTGTAGAAAAGATTCTGTTAAAATGTATGAAGACTTCCAGAATTAAATGTATGGATACTTTAAGTTGTCTGTAAGATTGCTTTAAATGTTACTTAGAAATTCATTCATCATAGTATGAAAATAACTTAGTGTGGAATTAGTACATGTTGGAGATTAAAATATCTAAATTTGTGTGATGTCAAAATAAAATAATTTTGAGCACCACCGAGTTAGTGCTCTAAGTCTAGAACATACTGAATAACTTATCTTCCAAATCACCTGCATCTAAGTAAACCTCATTTTTAAATATAAGATATTCTCACAAATGTCAGTAGTTATACTGGTAAGTAATGACCACAATTAATTAAATATTATAGAAAATCTGCATATGTATGTTTAAATGTTCACTAGTT